GGGGGGGGGAGAGTAATGGGGGTATGCAACTAACAGATCACATTATGATTTTTCTCATTTGGATAAATCAGTGAAGTGAAACAATTAATCTCTATATATACAAGAAGCCTCCGAACCGCGCCCTGCAGTTACGAATGGAGGTCAATTGAAGGGTTAGAATCCAAGCTAGGCCGACACCCTGTAGCATGGATGGTGTGTGGGAGCATCATTTTTTGTTTAAATTTACCTCCACGATGGTCCCAACACCCCATAAAAAATTTCACAGTCTCAACAGATCACTTTTTCATCTTCAAATGAGCACAAGGTTACCATCTTGATGCCATTCATGGGCAATAAAGGGGAGCAAAAACTTACCTGCTGAGGGGGGGAATGCTAGCTCCAGATAAAACAAAAAGATAAGTAAATCAAAGATTAGCTGTCGTCATCCATTGCGCCGATGTATGTCAAATCCGTTCGTCTCACCCGCACTGCCCCTTTTAGCCAGTATGATGCTCGGAAATTTGCATGTTCACCACCGCCGATTACAGCAGCATTGCTGGAAGATTGACTTGATCCAGCACCATCTTCTAGAAGCAACCAAGGGTCAATTTCTGTATCGTAATCCTGCTGTGGTGGCAAAGATTTTGACTTTCCAGGTGCGCTAGGAACAACTCGGGGCGATGACATCTTGCTCCCTTGAGGCATGCTGCTACTATTTCCAGAACCAATCCCATGTGTGGAAGGGCTGGATTGAAATGAAGAAAGGGCAGAAAGGGATATTGTTGGTGGCTGGTAAGATAAAAAGCACCGACCAGGAGGAAGTGGAACTGGCATTGCGGCTTGGATGCGCCATCTAATCATATCAGGTAGTTGCATAACGTGCAATTCATTCTGTGTCAATAAATTAATTCAAAACTCATAAGTACGACATTAGATTTCCTTCACCATCAGGTGGGTAAAATGAAAAGCATCCCTAGTCATTTTTTTTTGGCTTTGGTATAGGCTCTACTTTTTCACATAGAATCCAGAAGAGATCAACTAATGCTAGATATCTATATCGTGGGGCTAGTAGACAACTAAAACATCACGCTCCTTTTCCCTCTCTCAACAGAAACAAAATGCAAGAGGTTCTTCAATATTAGAAATAAGTAGGTCCATGTTTCATTCCAACAGTCAAAAGATTGATCTAGCGTGTCAATACAGAAACCTAGTAAGCTGACAATATTTCACAACAATCTTCTTCTGTTTGTGTGTTATGGAGGGTAAAAATTTAATTGTGAAGTTAAGATTGAAGAATAACGTTACTTGAGGGCTAACCTGTAAACTTTCAGCCAGTTCACGAACAAGAGCACTAGAGTCCTTGCTTGTTTCATTGGTCGACTTTGCAGCAGTCTTCACACCTAGCCAACTTGGCTGGCAACTGCTCAAAAGCCCATGTAGAACCAATAACATCCTAGCAAAAAGACTTTCACCTGGTAAATCTGCAAATACAGAATATGAAGCTTCGGAAGGTGACTCTACTTCCTTCTTTACCATCGAACTGTGGGTGGGAAAAAAGGTAAGGTTTGCATCCTCATGAACCATTCGATTTCCAAGAAGACGAAGGATAACAGAGGCAAGCATATGCCTCATGTTCCGTCCTGATGGCTCCCTGAAAAAGGAACAAAATTTGAGAAAAACTAAAATGTAATTTGGACGCTGGAGAACTTGGAATGAAATCAATGC